CCTTTTCTCTTAAAGCCCTAGTAGCAGCCTACCTCCCCTTATCCCCGCTGCTACTACTTGCTCGCTTCGTCGCTGGTCACCGCTCAGGTAGGTCATCGTTCACCGCCCTACGAGCCTCCACACCGTGACCCGAACCCCCTTCCATTGTCGTGGGTCTGCCTGCCCGTTTAAGACCGAAAACCGGTCTCCTTGTTACTCTGTCACTGCTCCGGTTGTCGTACAGTTCGTAAGACGCTCTTTCTGGCCATTGGTGCGATAGTGGCGCCCTTGTCAGCTATGAGAAGCCCTCGTCGGGTTGTTTCTTACTGCTGCAGCCATTGGGCAGCATGGGTGCTTTAAAGCCGGCCATTTGGTGCACGACGATGCCGACCGTGAGTCCACCGGTCCGTGGGTCTGCTGTCGGTGCATCCTCGTCGCTGCTATCCTCGTTTAAACGTTATGGAAGATCGTTATATTCGAACCGAACCCACTGTCCATTTCACCAATTGAATAGGAAATTATTCTAATTACTCGTCGTAATCTATTATTTTATTTTTAGGTTGGTTTATTGGGATTTAATTTCAGGTAATGGAATTTTACATGAGAAATTAAGCCGAGAACCGAGTTACCGCCTCCGCTTCCGTTACTTGCTAATTTCGAACCCACTCGAGTTACTCGTGAGTGTAAATTAATAATTTTAATGCGTCTAGTTCTATAGTTAAATTTAGAATAATTTGTTAATTATTAAATATTTGTCCTAGGTTCTGATTCGTCATTCCACTATCCGGGCCGATTGTGGAAAACATTATCACCGTCTTTAGCTATTTGTCGGGTATGTCTCTATTGGTGCTACATATGTTTGATTTATTTGCCTGTTTACTTGGTTGATTGGTAAATGACTTGAAAGCATATTTGAATGTGAAATTGATTGCGTTTATTATGATTCCGAAAATATTATGACACATGATGAATTTTCAGAATAGGAATTATGTGATGTACGTAAAAAAATACGTGATTGCAAGAAAATATCGAAAATCGAACTATATGCTTCGGATAACGGATTATGTGATACCTTTTATTCGGATAGGATCGAAAAGTTGGATTATGTGTCATTTTACATGTCATATTGGGACAAATTCTAATAGGAGAAGAGCAGTGTGAATATTAGAAGGGGTGAATGACACTTTTTCGAATTCAATGACCTCTGCCTTTATAACAGATCCCACTTCTTTTGGTGTGGTTTGATTGTAGATAATGTGGTTCTGGAAAACCAACTATTCGGATTGTGTGACAAGAGTATGGGGGTGCATTACATTTACATTTCATTCGGACCACTTATATTATGGCTCAAACTGTATAGACGATTATGTATTAAAGTTGTTTGTCATATGTACACTTTAGAGGCACACAAAGCTTTATAGCTTACAACCCTTAGTTCTTTCTTTCAAATTTTCGACACTAGGAGAATCGGTATTTGGAGAATCTCAACTGACATTCAAAGGAAAATTTTACTTCAGTATGAATTTTTATAGACTTTCATTCATCGAACTTTAATTATAATATTTTGGGATTATTTTATTTACTTGTATTTTAGGATTTGCACGATGTTGGACTTTGGATAATATTGTTACTTTTGGACTGCTATGCATGTTTTACTTAATGATTTTTCGTATTGGATTTCTGCGGAACTTTACCTTAATAATATTTAGGGTAAAGTATAGTAATGGCCACTTAACTTTTTTAAAATTTTCATTTAAGTTCCTCAACTTTTAAAACTTGCAATATAATCCTCCAATATTTAGTCCGTTTGCAATATGGTCTGCGACGTTACACTGTCGTTAGTACTTTTGCAATATAGTCACTGAACTTTTCAGACACTTGTATTTAGGTCTCTCTACTTTTAAAACTTGCAACACAATCCCCAATTTCATTCTAAACCCTAAATTCCTTTTCGATATCCAATTTCCCTTTTCGATTCCCTCTTCTCATTTCCAATGTAACTTTTCAGTCGGGGATGCATGGGAAATTCTAATCTATCTTTGAATTATGTGGAGGTGTTGACTTGAATAATGATCCATTAAGAGAAGACCCGACCAAGAGATTATCGGGACTATCAACGATTCAAGGTGTAATGTTAGATACATGTCATATCAGGTGAAGCATAGATGTTCGATGAAATGCTTGTGAGAAAAAATAGGGTTAGAAATGTAGAGTTGACAAATACTACTACTAATATGAACTAAGTATCATTGTTGAAAGTCATTAACAAAGCTGAAATTATTTTGTATAAATGTCATTTAATAATTTATTCGTTTAATCCTTGTGGTTAAAGATTTTCCAACAGATGATCAAATATAATGAAATCCCAAACAACACATTCACCTCTCAGTCTCTTTCGCTCGCACGCTCTCTCGATTGGTTTTTTTCTTCAATTTTCCGCCATGTAAAATTGTAAACCCAAGCAGTGCTCTGTCTTTCAACTTTTTATTTACAAAGAAAAAATTGAGAAGAATTGCTGGAACTCAGTCTCTTTCGCTCGCACGCTCTCTCGATTGGTTTTTTTCTTCAATTTTCCGCCATGTAAAATTGTAAACCCAAGCAGTGCTCTGTCTTTCAACTTTTTATTTACAAAGAAAAAATTGAGGAAGAATTGCTGGAACGCAACACTGATTGTATTTATTTCTTAGCCTCTCCCCTCACATGCAAGAAGTTATTTATTTTCTCTTTTGGGCTATCCGGAAGTAAGCTTTTCCTTTTTCGCACTTTCCCATTTTCAGCTCACATTATATTTTTTGTTGAAGCAGTGCTCTGTCTTTCAACTTTTTATTTACAAAGAAAAAATTGAGGAAGAATTGCTGGAACGCAACACTGATTGTATTTATTTCTTAGCCTCTCCCCTCACATGCAAGAAGTTATTTATTTTCTCTTTTGGGCTATCCGGAAGTAAGCTTTTCCTTTTTCGCACTTTCCCATTTTCAGCTCACATTATATTTTTTGTTGAAATTTTTATGTTTATGGAATTGCATGTCAATGATATGGATATTCAGTGTTAATTTTGAACCAAAACCATCTAATTTTCTTTCTTTCTTCTTAATCAAAACTTTTAGTACTCTTAAAAATATCCAGTCCATCATAATAAAAGTGAAAGAGGATTCTAGGCTAATTTTTTTTTTATCTTCTTGTTTGGTTTTTCTTTAAATAGGGGAATTAATTGTAAGTATCGACATAATGAAATTGCCAAGCTCAATCCGAGAGACTTTTGGTACTAATTTACTGGGAATTATATTGATCTGACCAGTGGTTTTCGGCGTTCTGTGAGTTCGTATTCTTTTTAATAAGTTCATGTTGATTATGGGACTAATATATCGTGAACGAATTAATTTTTTTTTACATGTTTTGGAAATTTTACAGTTGAATTATTTTGAATTATAGCTTTAGAAGACAATTCTGCATGCACGCAACTCGAAAGGCATCATGACAGATATTATATTTGGAGCAGCTACTTGACCCTATCATGATGCCTTTCAAGTTACGAAAGAGACTAAAAGGTGAATGCGCTGTTTGAAATTTCATTATATTTGATCATTTGTTGAAAAAAGTTTAACCACAAGGATTAAACGAATAAATTATTATATGCCATTTATACAAAATAATTCCAGCTTTATTGGTGATTTTCAACAATGATACTTTGTTCATCTTAGTAGTATTTTTCAACTCTGCATTTCTAACCCCATTTTTTTCTCACAAGCATTTCATTGAACATCTATGTTTCACCTAAGATGACCTTATCGAACATTACACCTTGAATCGTTGATGGTCCCGATAGTCCTTTTGTCGGGATTCTCTCAATAGACCCTTATTCAAGTCAACACATTCACATAATTCAAAATTAGATTAGGATTTCTCATGCATCCCCGACTGAAAAGTTACGTTGGAAATGAGAAGAGAGAAACGAAAAAAGAAATTCGAGATCGAAAAGGAATTTGAGGTTTATAATGAAATTAAGGAATGTGTTGTAAGTTTTAAAAGTTGGGGGACCTAAATGCAAGCGTCTGAAAAGTTCAGTGATCATATTGCAAACGTACTAACAGCAGTGTAACGTCGGGGACCATATTGCAAACGGACTAAATGTTGGAGGACTGTATTGCAAGTTTTAAAAGTTGGAGGACCTAAATGAAAGCTTTAGAAAAGTTCAATCACCATTACTATACTTTACCCTAATATTTATTAGTTTTGGAACTATGAATGTTTTCAAACATAAAATGATTGTTTTAAAGTTTTAAAGTTTTAAAATCAATAGCGTTTTCGTGAGGGACAAGTTTTAATGACTTTTATTGTCCTACTAGAATCCTACTTTGTAAATAAAATAAACTCTAGTCTATCTAGAACTCTTGACAATTGCTTGTATAAATATCCCTACTGTATTCTCACAATTTGTGACGTGAATTAAAATATTTTATTTTTCTGGGAATCCTATTTCTACAATATCTAATAAGATTTGATTACTAAGGATTATGTGAAACTAGGGAACAATTAGATGATATATTCACAACTCTTAATAAGATCTATGTAACAAGTTGGGCTTGATTAATATCTATCTTCTAACTTGAGGGGAGTGTTATTGATTTATAGGTTGTTTTTTAGACTAAATCTTAGATATTGAAAGATTTATTTATTGTAATTAATATAGAATATTAGGTTGCCTAACATAGGGTCCCTACACTTGTATATATACATATATGATCGGTGAATATATTACAAGAAAAATAATGGAGAACAAGGAAGGGGGAGAAATGATGGTTATAGTCACTAAGAGAAGCAAACCTGTCGCGTCCACAGAGGAAATGGCTTCGCAAAACGTGTTAGCTCTCTGTCGACGAGACATCGTATCAGTTGCAAAAACAGGTATGATCGACAGTTGGAAAATCTTGGATAGAAAATGTAAATAATGTTAAGTAAACAATGGCTTCACAGAAAAATCGGATTATGGCAGGCACTAAAATGGCAAAATCACAATGCACAACTCAAATTAAGTTCTAAGAATTGATTTCCACATGAAATTCAAGGATATAATCCCTAAATCTCTCTGTTGTATTTGGAACCGCTGCCACTAACGAACGGACTACAGCCATGGTTGTTTCATGAGAACCATCTTCAAGAAAAGCATCCATTTGAACACGTATTTTATCAACAATCTGAACATGATGTGTTCGTAAGAAAGATGTTTAGAAACTGCATCAGCATGAAATATAATAAAACAGCCTCCGTACCATGTCATTTTTAAAATGTTGTGCCACAGCCCCAAGTGCATCTATACTTGCATTCTTCACATTCACACTTTGGTCCGAGCCAAGGGTAATCAAGGCAGGAAGAACATGAGCGGATGCAACTTTTGTACTAACATATGTGACCTGCTAAAATGCGAGTAAATATTTTATTGAGGTACAAAAATTTATTTTAAATGAAAGAGAACCATACGATGGCTTTCAATATATTAGCAGCACTGATCTTCAATTCTATATTCGAGCTAACAACCATTTCCCACAAGATATCGAATATCAAGCTATGATGCTCTTCGAATGTGCTGCATTATTAAAGTAGATTCTATGTGAATATTTAGCAGTAAATAAAAAATAATTAGGACTAAAGTTTTTTAATTACAAACCAAAGGAAGCGGACAGCATTAACAATATCATTGTTGTGTGTCGTAGACTGATTCTCTTTCGCTGCACCTTCAACTAATAGCTTCCTCAAGTAGTCTGCTAACTGTTCATGCTTACCAGGACATCCTAGAACACCCGCCAAGAGAAGCGGCAAGATACCTAGAATAGCAAGTCTCTGGGCCACATCTGTTCTTGGTTTCAGACCTGCAACCAAACAACACTCATGGAACATGCAACAACAAAAGGTCAACAAGATTCTAAGGAAACAATACCTTCAATTCTGGAATGAATGTAGGGAGGGAAAAATGTCAAATCAGCAGCATCCCCAACTGCTACCATGAATATAGGAACCATTACGTGTTTCGAATAAGACTCCCCAAAATGTTCAGAAACAGCCAATAAAAACTGCAATGTCATTATGTAGATTAGCAACAAGAGAAACATCATTATTTCAAAAGAGCAAGCATAAAGAAAGCAGAAAATCCCATTAAATGCAATAGTGACAAAATACATTTGTAGTTCGGTTTCTTAAACTATCCTCTTTCTGGGGTAACATGCAAGCCAGTTGTATCAAACCAGAAAAGCAGTCTGCATGCATCCATTCAAATGCAGGCCACTCGACATGTCCCCTGGTAGAATATAAAATCAATCAAAATCATTTTAGAATACAATTATTCAACTAAGCTCTCAAAATCCATCCATACACTCATCTCATAAGTCAGATATATAAAAAAAACGTAAGTCTGGAAAAAAGAAACCAAAGAGAAGGGAAAATCTTACCCTGCATACAATCCAAGTACAGAGATGGAAAATATTGTCCCATTTGACTCCGAAACAGAGGAAAATGGGCATGTCTCAATTGCTTTCTGATGCACGTAAGGAATCAAGTCAGCCAAAATTCTTAACAAAACATCAAGATTCCAGCGATCTTCTTCACCTAAAGCACGCAGGTGGGACTCCACTGACCCTTCAACTCCAGAAAGAGGTGGACAACGCTGAAAATAATGATGGAGTAACTGTAAGAGGGGAGAGCATTGCAAATTTGATATGTGATAGTACCTACCAGAAAATGATAAAAACGAAGGGCAAAAAGTTACCTCAGCAGAAGCTAAGATATGAGAGATTAGAACTCTCAAAATATGGTCTAACTTGTTTCCCCAATTTATTATTGCAGGTAGTAGTTCTTTTAGTGTAGTTTCAACCACCACTCCGGATGGATCACATGCCAGTTGGAACATCAACTCCTCAACCTGTCAATATACAAATAAGGCGGTGGAGAACTTTGTGTTTTCTTATTATAATTTCTCTATTTCTTTCAGGTCATGATATTATATTATTCTGCAAAAGGCTCCAGTCCCAAGACCATGGGTTATCAACCTGTTCTAGAGCTTACATCGTAGCCAATTCTGTCAAGTCAGAATTCTTCTCCATGATTGCCTTGAAGCATATTTAGTGAAGCTGACCTTGAAATATTTATCCATATGTGGAAAGTGTGGAAGTAGTAAGGCCAGGTTGTGCGCAGCAGCTTCCCGGACAACAGTTGCAGGATCTTCTATCAATTGTTGTATAATAGATAAAATAAGAGAATCACAAATCTCAGATCTGACAAATTCAGCAAGCTCCCCGCATGATTGAGCGACAAGCAACCTGCGCTCCTCATACATGTGATTTATCTGCACTCAAAAGAATATGAAATCAGGCTACAATAAGTACAACTGACAAAGAAGAAATAAGGAACCCAGAAACTCACTTGTTCCCAGCACTGGGGGAGTATTTCTGTTTCTGTTCTTACCTCCCCAAAATTTTTAGCAAGGCTCACACATGCCTGAAATGAAGTTTAAAAGATTTAGCACTGTATCTACACTTGAGCTATCGATGCTCTAACATGATTCTCTGAAACATACATCCATTATAATTCGCCTCTGCTGTTCATCTGGACGTTTAATCAAATTGAATAGTGTGTGCGTCAACGAATCTCGAGTAGCATTATCTGGATGCCGCTCAATGGCACACATTATCAGAGGAATAAGCTCCTAGAGTGAAAAAATTAGTATGGAATTAAATAAGGATAACAAATAAGATACTGTCCGAGTAAAAACTAATAGTCAGAAACTGAACCTCCCGATGGTTGATCAAAACATAAGGAACGATCTTAGGCAAAGCATCAGCAAGGATTTGAATCGTCCCCAAACCCTGTTTTAATAAAACTCTGCATTAGACGTGATATTGTAGCCAATCTTGATAACATATTCTATTTTGGGTGGGGAAGCAAGTAGTACTATACTAGATGTTAGTTTTTTCATAAATTTATCTCATTATGTAATTGATATATATATATATATATATAACAAAAAAATGCTTAATTTTATCAATTCATGAATAATGTATAAAGAAACAAAATATATCAAATATATAATATCATAAAGCCTAGTGAAATTCCAGATACCACCCTTGAATTATAATATCATAAAGCAAAAATAAAAACTTACCATATTCTCTGGAGCAGGTCCACTGCTAGGATTTTCTGGTTTTGAATGCAAGCCAATATATTCTGATGGTGGTTTCTCATTCTGTTGGGATAAGGTTCCACCAGACGGGAAAACATCATTACTGTTTGAAAGATTCATAACTGGCTCTGCTAACTTTTCTTCAGGATTGTGCGTGCTGTTGTCAAATGTTTGAACTGGTGCTGACAGTACATTGCTGTCTACAGGTCCTGCTGGCTCCATGGGATGAGTGATTAGAGTTTTATTCTCATCCATCTCAACAACTTTCTCTTCAGTATATGTTGATTCATTTTCAGCACGGCTGGAATCACCTTTATTTGGAATATTTCTTTCCTCTGCGTTTAATCTTTCAATTTCCTTCTGCAAAGACTTAATTTCTTCCTTGTAATTTTCAAATGTCTGGGGTTGAGCAAAGTCAACACTATTAGACACCGGATCTTGTACAGAACCAGATATGTCGACGTGCTTTTTCAGGGAAGCGATTTCATCCCTTCGATCATTTAGTTCCTTCCTTTGTTGCTCCCAGGCATGCTTCACATCTTGGATCTGAAGAAGTACGAAATTGCTACAGATTTTGAGGCATCATCAAGGACCTGCTACTAAAGCAATCAAGTTTAAATAGAACTACCTGATTTTTCTTGTCCTTCAGATCCTTATGAGTGGTTGCCAAGGATTTTGTCAATGCATTTATCTGACCTTCAGCCAAATTTTTGTTTTTCATCAAAAGCTCTTTTTCATACTTTAATCTATCATTTGCTTTTTGTAATGATTCATTTTCTCGAATCAAAGAAATTTTCTCCTGCAATAGAAGAAAACCACTTCAAGTAGAAAGATATACATGATCCACATGTAAAAGCAGATATTGTTCAAACAGTGATCCTTATTTAATTATAACAGACCATCTTAAATGCCAAAGAGATATTAACTGAAGCAAGTTGTATCTACAACACGTAGAAGAAACATCCATTATGACAATAATGTCATTTCCAACCATGTCCAAATGTAAAAGAAAAGGGCTGGTTGGGCAAGATGTTAGTTCAAGGTTCTTATATTTGACTGATATCTATAGATCATAGATATTTTCCTAATGAAATAATTCCATACACATAATATTACAGGCAACAACTTCATTAACCAAACTAGAGTAAGTCCAAACTGGTTTGAAATGAATATCGCAATTGACAGTCCAAGTTTATTTTATTGCACTCACCCAGGGCTTTTATATTGACAAATGCAACCCAAGAAATGCAAGAAAGAAAGCAGCCGACACCAAATGATACTGTTACTCATAAAGCAAAGTCAACAACAATAAAGGAAAACAGCTATAATGTTCAAAAATGAAAAATATTCTGTATTATTTAGTACGAATAGTAAGAAACAGCTTGCCTACCTCAGCAGCGTCTGAACTTGAAGACAGGTACTGATAATAGTAATGGCGTAAGGCATCAGGCACAGATGCTGGTGAATTTTCCCAAACATCTAGGTTCTGATCTGTAATCTGAGGTTAAACAACAAATCAGCTAGGAGAAGATCTAAGACTAGCTGTAGCTGCAGCTTCAAACCCCTACAGGGGCCTCAAATTCTACTTGTGCAAGAGAAAAATATAAGATATACCAGCAAGAAAATAAGAAAATTAGTTTCTATTAAATCTATAAATTGATAAAGCTCGTCTCCCTGCCAGAAAATTAGGAAAGAAGATAACTTGCGTTCTAACATCAAATGAAAAGTTGGATCAACTCCCAGTCAGGGTATTCTATTTTACAAACTAACTTCATATTCGGAAAAGGATACACCTTGATGTTAAGGGGAAAGAACTTTCTTCTTCTATCAGTTTCCAAATAATAATTTAATAATTCCACAATTTTCAGTTTATTAAGTTTTTCATCAAGCTTTCAGCATAGAACAGTCAGCCCTTGCAGCCAATAGGTCCTTTAATGCTAGTTAGTGAAGATTTACTGAATCAAAAAGCAGTAGCAAGAGGAAAACACTACTGAATGTTTTGGATACCTCTTCACAAAATGTCATTGCAGTTAATCGATATCCACCTATCAGCAAATACTCCTTTACCGCAAAATTTAGATCTTTACGCTCATTAGCCTTCAACGGGCCTAAAGTAGAGAAAAGAGCATCTTTCTTTTGCCGATGGAATTCCAGTGCATGATTTTTGTTATTGCTCAAACTTGATTCTACATTTGCACGTAACATAAAACGAATTCACTCATGCCAGAAAAATAATGGTTAGCTAATGACTAAAGCAATAAAAAGTCCTACAATCCCCATATTTTCTGCCAGGGATCCTACGGAGCCCGTTGATTATGGAAAACAATTGCCAAAGAAAAGCAACTGCTACAGAAATACTGGCATCAATTCCTGAACAATAGTATGAATAGCTAGCATGATGAGCAGAAAAGAATATTTAATATAACGATAGTAGGGAAAGGTGCCCCACCTCATGGAATGCAAAAAGAGGCAAAAAGAATAATTTCTTCATTGTTTACCTTTACCACAAGAACCTCACTGGTAGTGAACCTATATGAATCAGGTAGCCAGTCTTGACCATTTTGGTGCTTCTAATGATTCTTAGTCATAAAAATAAAGACTCTTTCAATCGAACAGCATACTAGAAAGTTGTCATGTAAAGAAATTAAATTTTCTCTAAACATATCATTCACAAAAAGAAAAAAAAGGTTTAATTTATTCTATTTATCTTTGTTTCTTTTTTTCCTTTAAAAAGAAAATGAATAACAAAAGGAAAAAGCCAAAACAAAATGAACAAGAAACAAAAGACAAATAGCAACGGCATCAACCAAATGAAGTTTGAGTGTATCCATTCAAATATCAAATAAATAAGATTTTTTACCACTCAATTTATCCAGATAGAAAGCTGATTTCATTTGTAACTCGGTCTTCAGTTTCGTAACGTCTTCTTGAGCTAAACGCAATTCATAATCCCTAAGTGTTAACTTTTCTTCTATTGCTTCTTTCTCTTCTAGCAAACTTTGGGGGTCTGCAACTGGATTTCAAGAAAAATCCAATAGATAAAACCATCAGTAAGGTTCACTTCTAAGTGTTAACTTTTCTTCTATTTTATGGTTTGTAATTCCAATATCACCGGCAGCCAAAAGCTCATTTGGTAGTCATAGTCACTAATTAAGTAGCTATATCTTCAGCATAAGCACTCTGTCTTTAATATGTATGTATGTATGTATAAAAAATATGTATTGTCTAGCAAGATGGTCATACCTTTACAAACAAAAGCACTAAGTAGATGTAAGCTCTAAGAGGTATCGTTTCATGTATATATATATACACACACAATTCCAAGTAGTGCCTTAATTTCTTTACCCTCTCTCAAATTCCACGACAACAAATTACATAATTTCTCATAAATTTAATTTCCACTTAGTTATTAATTGTGTTACTTTTTACCACCTGAGAAGTTTAAATAATTAGATTAAAGAATGACTAAATACTACATTAATTCCAACGTAATTACTCCTATATAGAAAAATAATTGCATTCTTCCATTTTTTTTGTCTTTTGTTGATATCCGATCAGGGTGGAGATTCTGGTGGCCTGAGCTCATGCACTTATCCCACCTTTGTCTAATTTCGTAAACCTGCCTTGAGCACCCTCTGATCCGAAGTCAGATCACTGAATCACCTCACTACCCTGAATCCGATATCAACAATTTTTATAAGGCTCATTCCATTGTTACTCTTGCTAAAGCACTGCCAGCAGTCTAACAATAAATAACACTAAAAAACACCATATATATTTACCAAAAAAAAAGACAAAAAACTTATATACGTCCAAATTGTTCCCGATTTCATACTTGAAAGAGAAAAAGGAATTAAAGAAAAGCAAAAGCACCTCCAAGAGAGCTGTAGCGAGAGATCTGATCAACAGGAAAATGAGAAGGATCGGAGAAGAATTCCTTTAGACGAATTGCTTGAGCGTCACGACCTTCTTCAAGAAGCTCGTGGAGTAACTCGAACGCCGTTAACAAGTAATTTTCTTCAAGTAGAAAATTCACCACGAAATTGCACCGCGATGATCTCTCTACATCCATCATCTAAGTCTAATCCTTCCGTTACATCATTCGATCTCCACGTTTATCAACATCAGGATCTAACCGATAACTCGTCGAGCAATTCAAAATGTCGTTTAAAAGTAATTCTCTTCAAGTAGAAAATTCACCACGAAATAGCACAGCGATGATCTCTCTACATCCATCATCTGAATCTGATCCTTCCTTTACATCAATATCACTCTCTCCACCGCTTATAATCATCACGATTTAATCAAATTCTTCTCAAGCATCAAAATCTCGTTTTTTAGAAAAAAAGAATGAGCGAAACGGTAGCGGCTTGCAGAGCTCGTGCATTTCGAAAGTTATTATTATTATTGAGAAAATGCGTTTTGAAAGTTTGATTGTGATGGCATTGAGGAGATGGAGTTTTGATTTGGTGTTACAAGGAGTATTATTGTTTGGAGATGAGAGCCATAGGCTCGGGAGAACATATTCACCCCTTCGATTAAGTCGGTTTCAATCAATTCAATTTAAACCTTCGTTAAGATAGTTTTGTTGTTTGGTTATCAAAATTTATAAATGAGTTTAATTAGTTCAAATAATATATTATTCTTAATTTATTTTAAATATATTAATGGTAGATAATAAACATTAAATATATTTATGATAAATCGATCAATCTAGTTGATCATCAAATCGACCTATATTAATGGTAGAGCACAAGGTTAACCTTGAGGTCGTGGGATCGAGTCCTACGGAGGACATTTTATAATTCGGAAGTTGGGAGAAACCTACTATCTTATCTCCCCTTACCTCATTACATATGAAAACAGGGGACAACCATTTTAATTTAGACCATGAAAATTAATCATCTTAATTATTATTATAGTTTATCAAGTAAGTCAATTAAATATAAAATAGTGATTTAACCGAACTCATTAATTTCAATTATTTATTTTTTTCATTCAATGATCTTAAATTAATGTAAAACATTTGAGTTTTACATTGTATAATCTGATCAAGTTACACCCCCAATTTTCTGGGACAATAATAATTCCTTATATTAATTGCAAGGACTAAAGTGACATCTTAATTAAAATTTTATGAACCCATCTGTAGCTCAAGAGAAGTTCAGGACCTTGAACCAAGTTTTACCCATCAACATTTGACTTTGGTAAAAAGAGAAGAAAAATATGTATTTTAGAGGGTTTGAGAGTCTATACGCTATAGAGATAGAAGTCGTGCCTATACAATCTAGGCTAGACTATTATGTATGAATAAAAGAATAAATACATCTTCATAAATCATATTCTATAACCCCAGCTCAGTTAATGCAACCATACTAGATTGGTTATTTTATTACGAACCAAAGTTTTAGAAACCCATCTCCATCCCCTATCTCATCGTTGAAGCACTAATTGTCATATCTGATCGACCGTGGTGTGCACCATCAGCATCATTGTTGTCCCACGATCAAACCCCGACCATTGGATACCCTTGTTCGATCTCCGTCCATTATAAACCAATGGGAGACCGTTCGAACACCTTATCGTCGATCGCAACCATCGCTCCCTGATGATCGTTACTGCCACCACTAGTGAGAGCGTCTAGCCACCGCGATCAAAACCTGGCCGACTGCACTCTATGAATTGTCGTCTTTTACTGTGTAAGACGCTTTGAAGGTTCATCAAATTTTTAAGCCATTCGCTGTTGTTTGTCAGGATTTCAGCCACGTCCATTGTCTGTGAACTACACAACCACCAACATTGTAGTCCCTGACGTCGAGCGAAACAAATCCCAGTCGACCCTGCCTCCTTGACATCGTCTTTTCTCTGACCATCGTTGGGTAAGTTTTGGCTCACTTTTTCGATTCTTACTTCGACTTTTGGCTTGAAATTTTAGTTGATTTTTTTGGAGTGTTGCATCTCGTGTAAATTGGACGGTCCCTATCATCGTTTTGGCCATCGTATGCACCGCCACACATCGTCCCTATGCTTGAGGCTCCTCCACCGATAAAAAATTTATAGAAATCGATTTGGTTAGACCAGACCAAGTCAAACAGGTATGGACAGGATCAACCTGAACTGGTCGAAGCTGAGTCAACTCAAACTGATTTAAGTCAACTTGAATCAATCTGAACCATTGACTTTAACCAAATAATTGGCTTTTACTGAACAATTGACTTTGATTTTAACCAACGTTAACCATTGATTTTGACCAAAAAATTGATTTTTCTAAAAATCATAAATTGGATTTTTCGACATATTGAGTCTGATTTTGTAGTTTGTTTCGCAAATTCTAACTTGAAAGCCTCTAAATCAAACCTTAAACTCAAACATTCATATTTATTTTAATACTTTATTTAAGCGCATAGACAATAGCTGATATATCATGTTATTTATTTAAGGTACACGTTATTCTATTAGTTATTCGTCAGCTCGATCCAGTTCCTATCGATCCGTTCAACCATTCGAGCTTGTAATTAACTGTATGATTTTGTAAACCCTATGAATACATGGATTAAAATATTACTTCGATAGTAACTATTCTTTATTGTGACTTAGGTTCGAGAACTGTTGGAGAGCGTGGCGAGGTAGGTCCTCAATAAACCTCTCAGATTTATTTTTTTAGGTGCATTCCTTGTGTGTTATGTAAATGTTTTAAATACTTGTTTGAATTATCATGTGAACATTATTGCTTTATCTGTTTAAAATATGATTGTTTTATTTGATTTGACTTATGAATGATTTATCTTATTAAAAATTTTGATTCCTAATTTATTGATTATAAACTATGTTTGCATGATGCATGTTCTTTGGTTACTGATTTTATTGCAAAATAAATATGTTTGATTTATGTTTTCCTGATTCTAATGGTACTATCTAAAACTATTTTATTGTCGTACTATATGGGATGCAATATAGAGTCTCTGCGAGTTTAGTTTCGATCAAGTTGGTATTACTTATGGACTTAAGGTGACTCTTGGGTTGGCTATTAGGCCCAATGGACATATGATAAGATTTATGGATCTTTAGGCACCTTTTTGGATGACTCATATACCCAATGGGTAGGGTAAGTCCTTATAGACCTAAGGCACCCCCTCAAGCGGGCTCCTACGCTTCGGCTAGGGTAAGTCTTTATGGCCCAAGGTACTCCTTTGGCTCATATACCCAATGAGTATAGGGTAAGTCCTTATGGATATAGTTCTGGGGAGCTACATATCAATGTATAGTTGGAGGGTAGTTATGTGTTTTAAATAAAATCTCATTGCCACATTTATGTTATGTTACTAAAGTAATTTTTGAAGTTGATTCCTATGTATTATTCTACACTTATTAGAACACACTAAGCTCCCTAGTTCAATCTCTCAACTTTTACTTTTTCAAATACTTTTGGTTAGTTACCCCAGACTTGGTACTTAAAGGATCAATACATTATGTGTTGTATATTTTGTTGTAATGTTTTCATCTTCTGTTAGATATGATTCATAAATATACCAGTAAAGAGGACAGGAGATGGAGCGGAGTGAGCGAAGCGAACATCAACTGTCCTTACAAAGAAAGTCTCGTTGTGGGGTTACAAATTATGTGGGTTAGGGGTGCGGGGGTGCAGCCCCCGCGGTACGGTACAGGGTTGATTTTGTAATTATGTACCAGGGTTTTCTATTATAAATAGAGATGTAACCTATACCTAAAAATATCATTGAATAAAACTTCTAGAGCCGCCTAGGCACCGAGGACGTAAGCACATTGCCGAACCTCGTAAAATTCTCGTGTTTTTTCGTTTTCTTTACCCGTTTTCGTCAACAATTGGTATCAGATGTCAGAGCAAAATTCGAAGTCGCGAAATTCGATGGTCAGGGTAACTTCGGATTATGGCAAACGAGGGTGAAGGATCTATTGGCACAGCAAGGGATCTTGAAGGCTTTGCGACCTACAAAGCCGGCGTCGATGGATGAGGAAGATTGGGAAGAATTGCAGCAGCGAGCGGCAGAAACCATACGATTATGCTTGGCGGACGAGGTCATGTATCACGTCATGCATCTATCGTCTCCAGACGAAATTTGGAGGAAGTTGGAAAGTCAGTTTATGTCCAAATCCTTAACGACAAAACTGTATCTGAAGCAGCGGTTGTATGGGCTGAAGATGCAGGACGATCACGATTTGGCGCAACACGTGAATGTCTTCAATCAAATCGTTTCTGATCTGGCTCGGCTTGATGTGAAAATTGAGGATGAAGACAGAGCGATGATTCTGTTGTGTTCGTTGCCTTCCTCTTACGAACACATGGTGACTACTCTTACATATGGGAAAGAGACTATCAACGTTGAGGAGATTACTGCAGCCTTGTTGGCTCACAACCAGCGGAAGCAGAATGCAGGGGAAAGCTCTCAAGCCGATAGCTTATATGTCAAGGGTAATCGAGATCGTGGACGGAAGCCAGAGAAGGTAGGGTCCGGGAAGCGGAATTCCAGATCCAAATCCAGGGATAAGAAGACGATTCACTGTTACAAGTGCAAGGAGGCGAGACATATGAAGCGAGACTGTCCGAAGTTGAAAAAGCAGACTGATGAGAAGCGTGATGGCTCATCCAAGTCTGTGAACGTGGTCAAGGATGATACTTCTGATTGCAGTGAGGGTGATATGCTTTCTATTTCAATGACACAATTGACAGATGCTTGGATTCTTGATTCTGGATGTTCTTATCACATCACGCCAAATAGGGAATGGTTTTTGACATACAGGCCGGTTAATTCTGGTTCGGTTTATTTGGGTGATGATCGATGTTGCAATATTGTTGGTATTGGTGATGTCAGAATTAAGATGCACGATGGCTCCGTTCGGACGTTGAGTGGTGTTCGACATATCCCAGACTTGAAGAAGAATTTGATTTCCTTGGGCACTTTGCACAAGAATGGTTTTATCCCTAAGGCTGACGAGGATAGGGAAACCATTCGGATTGTTAAAGGAGCATTGACTGTGATGAAAGGCAAGATGACTGCAGGGAATATCTACAGATTGTTAGGGAGTACCGTTGCAGGTGGAGTTCACTCTGTTGAGTCCTGTGATGATACGACAAACTTGTGGCATATGTGCCTTGCTCATCTTAGTGAACGTGGTATGGCAGAATTACAAAGAGAAACTTGTTGCATGGTGTCAAAAGCTGTAAGCTCGATTTTTGCAAGTATTGTGTTCTTGGTAAACAGACTAAAGTCCGTTTCAAGACTGCGAAGCACACAACTCAAGGGATTCTTGATTATGTGCATTCTGATGTATGGGGGCCTTCCACGACATCGTCTTTGGGTGGAT